AAATATATTTGGCGTGAGATCGTTTCGCGTATCTTTTTAAATGTAGGGCGCTAAAGATTGTTTTGTCTTTTGTGCAGCACGAGCATGTCGCACGGCTGGCCCTCCGTTTCAAGAAACCAATGGCCTCCTGACCCGAGTCTTCTTCAGCTGCGGATGACCGCTTCAATGGAAACACCGATTGTGACAACTCTCTGCGAGCAACATGTGTGTGAAATTGTGTTAGCCAGCTCCTAGCTTAAAAAAAAAAGAAAAAGAACAATATACCAACTGTGAGAATTTCATGGCAGGGTACTAATAAGGAAGTGTGTTTTTACATTGAGACAGCTCGTCTGAAAACTTGTATTCTTGGCCTAATAAAATCTGAGGTCTCAAAAAGAAATGAGCTGATTCTTGTTTTTCTGGCGCAGTGAAAAAGAAAGACTCGTTAAATGAGCCACTTCTTTTTTATTTGGGTTTTCAGGCCCCTGCTGTCCACCTCGGGAAAAGGTTTGTTCAGACATTCGAATACATTAAAATCGGTGCGAATTCCATCGATACAGCTGGTGTGAAACTACGCAGATTATGCGTATTTCGGCTCTCGAGACTTCGAGTCAATGACCTTGCAAATATTTTGCACAAAATTGCGCTTTTCATTCCCTATCCAACGGTGTAAAGTTGATTGAGCTCGGTCTCGGTACTTGTGTAAATCTTCCAATTTGTAGCCCCCGTCTGTCCCAATGCACAGTGTATACTCCAAACGTTATAACAATTTTATCTTTCGAGTACCGATTACGATCTCCACTCGTTCTCTGTGGCCCCCGGACTCGAAAGAGACCGATTTCATCTTCTATGATTTCGCGACATCATCGACGTTTGAAGTGCTTTCGCATCGAAGCCAGCCCTTCTCTTCTTCCTGGACTCGCCGAGGCTTTCTCCGATCTCCCGTCCTGAATACCGGACCTAGATCTGTACCGCTGGTACCGCTGTGTTCCTTGGTCTTTCGCCACTCCATACACACCACTTTTAACGTGTGCGATCCAAGTTTCGCGACGTTACGGCACTTTTACCGCCGACATGGCCAATGGCCGCCATTTTGGATATCCGATCTACATCCGTCCCTCACGGGCCTAATTTTTGCTCCAGAGACACCTTGTTGGTGTCAAACGTGAGCTCTCGTTGCGTAGAAGACGCGGCGAGTACAGTTAAACTCTGATCTAGTCCATATTGTATTGTACGAGCAGGTCATGCTATGTGCCTCATGAATGCATTTGTTTCGGGACCTATTTTCGGGCCTGTTTTTTGTTCGAGAAAGGCGATCTTGGTGTCAAACGTGAGCTCTCCTCGCGTAGAACACCCGACAAATATACTTTTAAGTTTGATGCAGTCGATGTTTCACTGTACGAGCTGCTACCTGCCATAGCAATGCATGTGTTTCTTTTGAGGTTCTCATCTGGCTCACCGATCCTCCGCATTACGTTTTATAGAGAAAACTGTTTTTGTTTCCTTCTTTAGCACCCGCCAGTCGTCTTTTCCAGAGACGGTGAGGACAAATACACATATGTGCTGCAAGAGGGCCTCCACACAACCCTACAGAGCTTTTTGTAGACATGCCCCTACAGTACAACTGGCCCGACACTTCCTATTTTGTCCCCTTCTGCACTTTCTGGCGCAAGATGAGCTAAACTGAAGCAGGAGTAACCTTCTAGGTTGCTATCGGTTCAGTTTGAACCCTCAAGCTACGTCCCTTTTCCCTTGACGGCCAAAATTTGAATGCAGGCATGGTTACTGCGGAATACCAAAAGTCTGCCTTTTGTCTCCGAGGGACGTCCACTTTGCACAGCCAGGATAACGCTGTCCGCAGTCGTGCTGGGACGTCCTTGCTACGGCTTGGCCGACACATTTGTTTTCTCGGCTTCCGTACTTTCCCACGTCGGCTTGTTTCAAGTCCAGCTACAGCATTCTTGTCGAACGGTACCTGTGAGTTCTGAAGGCTTGATGTCGACCTGTATTCTCTGCACAGCCCCCTACGGGGTTCTGCAGAAACCCCCGTCTTAGTAAATCACGTAGGTTTTCAATGAAGTGTGTCTCCACATCTTACGCGGGTGGGCAAGCAACACCGAGGACACAGTCTTCTTGTCTGCAGTGCCTCTTTATTCTCAGACACTACAAAACCCCACGCCACTGTTCAAAGGCTCGAAAAATCAGGACTACCTTCAGCTTTTGCGTTCGTACATAAACTTTGACACCAGCTGTGTTAACCAACCTGGGCTCGTTCATTACAGGAGGAAAGCAAGCACTCGTATCAAAAATGAATCGTCGCTCTAGCACTCTTCGTTTCCTAGACATGAGCAGTACATAAAAAACAGCCGACTCTCTTATTAGGCCAACATTAATGTGCTTTTCTGGTTCAATTATGAAATAATCGCAATAGAACCATTTGTATTTACTGTGCAGGCCGTTTCTTTAATGCAACTTCTCAATTACCTAAAAGAAATGGTAATCTGAAGAGTCATCTTTTTTCACTAAAAAAAACAACAAAAAAAAAACAGAAAAAACACCAGAAATGAGCCGAGTTCTCCGAGCGGTTTTATTAGGTCGATAAAACAACTTTTGCGTTTGCTATCTCGAAGAAATTTGACACACAAACACTCCTACCTGGTGCGACACCCTTTCCCGACAATTGGATAGCTTAATGGTTTTCTAATTCCGAGCGAGCGGCAGCTCTTTGAAGTATGTCCATCCACTTGTGCTCGGGACACCCTCCCTGTTGATCGATGAGTCTCGATTGAGATGAGCTGACACGGTTTCACTGCACACACATGTTCCTATGATGTTGTTTTCACGACCACAATCGATGAATGCACTCCAGCGGTCTTGAATATCCACAGGCGAACGATTGAACTTGGTCGGGCTTGTTAATTTCCGAGCAGAGTCCCAAAACCTGTTTTCGCGAATATAACGAGTTCTAGACTAGCTGGAGCGATGAAATTTTAACAGTGCGTCTAAATTCAGAGCGCGATCATTCGCTGCGAATTAGAACTTTCTAGCTATCGTAGTTTTCTTTATACGAGCATATGTGAAATCAAAACATCGTACAGTGAAAGCCTTACTTACACGTAAACTTTTGTTGATAACTTTCTTTTTAGAATACCTACATCGATGAGACGCGCCTCGAATGTTCCTCGGAACATAATCTTACTCCCTGGTTAAAATAAATGTCCTAGCTAGCCTACTTTCCGAGCTTCGTGCGATTGAATCACCTCCGGTTGCGAGCAAAACACGCGGCAGCCATTTGCTTTCTTTGCAAAAACCAAAACAAGAACCACGAATGGGCGGTAAATTTCTAAATACTTGACCTAAATAATTTAAAATTGTTGTGGAACACGGGTCTCGTTTTCAAAAATAAGACGATTCCCGTAATTCTAAGCTTGGTGTTATTAAACCAGGGCTGTGTTTCAAATCTCACCCTAATAAACCCGAGCTACTCGGGCGGATCGTGTCACGTGACAGCAGAAATGAAAGAACGCTGGACGCAGGCAGGTTTCAAAACGCCAGGTGTACAGAAGCTTTACCTCGCAGTATGATTTCGTTAATTTTAAAACACGGCCAGGAATTACATTTTTTATGAATGAATAGATAGATGACCCGTTTCGAATGAATGGATCCATGAGTGCGGCTGAGCAATTCCGACCGGTCGGTAAATCCCGCCACCTGGTGCCTTTTGTTTTACCATTGAAAATATTGAATTTCTGAAATCTATATTACGACCTTGAATTTACGATATCAAATGGGGGACACTTGTTCCCAGCCGCCCCTGGACTGGACAGAGACCGATTTCTTTTCTTGTGTGATGCGAGTTTCGCGAAATAAACGGCGTTTGAAAGTTTTCACATCCAAGCCAGCCATTCGCTTTCCTCACTTTAGGCACCGATCCTTTCTTCGATCTCGCTTCATTAATACTGGTCGTATCTCGTCACCGCTAGCACCGATGTGTTCCTTGGTCTTTCTAGACTCTACGGACACCACTTTGAACGTGTGTAATAAAAGGTTTCGCGATGCTACGACGCTTTTACCGTGGGCATGGTCATGGCGGCCAATTGTACTTTCCGAGCCTGTGTTCGGACCTCCGAGGCTGAATTTTCGTTTCCCAGACGCGATGTTGGTGTCAAACGCGAGCACGCGTTCCGTAGAAGACCCGACGACTGTAGTTTGCCTCTGATCGAGTCGATGGTTTACTGTACGAGCACTGATGCGACTTCCCGCACGAAAGCAGTCATTTTCGTGTTCGATATTGCTCACGGCTTCATCATTTGCTACCACAATTTGCTTTTTTGTTCTGAAGCCCTCCCTCGGGTAAAAGGAAGGTTCGTTATGCGCGCGAGATTAATTTAATTCATTCATCTCGTGCGGCGCGCGCTAGGCGGAACGGCTGATCGTTGCACGGAGCGCGCGCCTAAAATCCAAAAGCCACGTACAAAACGACTTCTCAAACTTGTAGACCAGTAGGTGCGCGTGGCCCAGTGGCTAAGACGTCCGTTTTCGAAGGTCGGTGGCGCGGGTTCGAACCCTCGTACGTAGTCAGGGTTTTTATATGTTTTTTATTTAATTGCATTTGTAATTTTTATAGTACGTTATTCTGCAAGCAGATCAAGATCCTATGGCGTCAGGAAGTATTTAAATTCTTTTTATTCATTTATACCGCAGGCCATTTCCAATCCCCAAGCAGGTTGGGACAAGTAAAAAAAAAAAAAATAACAGTAAGCCAACAAATCTGGTACACTGGAGATCACAAAAAGAAAGAAGAAAAAACACAAGTTCAAAGGCTGTATAGATATAAAAAATCGCCCCTGATAGCGTCATGCAATAAGCGCAAACGTAAGAAAGAAGAATTTATGTCCTCGCTTTTTTTTCCACGGGAAAAAATCAAATCTCTGAATAAAACTGATAAGGTACTTACTTGGTTTCCGCAGGTTGTGCACAGCAGGGGCTTCGTCTTCACCAGCAAAAGACAAAACAACAGATTTCTCCGTTTCACCTCAGATTTTATTAACCTCAGACTTTAATAGGCCGACAATGCAAGTTTGCAGACGAGAGCTGTCTCAATGAAAACACACTTGTTCCTATTCAGTGAATTCGCACGAGCTAACACGATTTCATAAAAACACTTTTTGCTCGGAGCAAGTTCTCAGTGGCACGATCCATGTCTCCGTTCCAGAGGTCATCATCCGCAGCTGAAGAAGACTCGGGTCAGGAGGTCTCTTGAAACGGAGGGCCAGCCGTGCAACTCGCTCTCCTGCTGCACAAAAGACAATCTTTAGCGCCCTACATTTAAAGAAAGATAAACGATCTGACGCCATACATATATATATATTTCTTCCGTGCGTCAGAGAGTGAAGCGTTTGAGTTCGTAGAGGCCGGCTTCGCGCTCCGCGACGCCGATTCGGTGTTCCGTGTTTCGCGTGAAAATAATAACAAAAACAAAACTATTCGTTATCATTTTCTACCATGCGTCTACTACACACACTGGCACGCCACATCAAGAGCGTCTATCTGCCTTTATTCGTACCCTTTTTCAACTTACAAACGAACTCCGCGAAGAAAATGCGCGCATCCAGAACTACATTACTGAAGCGCCGATGAAATTAATCACCTAGCGAATACCCAAACCGCTCGAACGCTAATTTTACGATGCAAGATAAAAAAAAAAAAAACATATTTGGACCCTACCAACCCAATTACAGCAAGAAATAGTCGAGAAATTAAGCAATACGAGCAAAACAATATTGCGCAATCCACAATCGGACGTTCGAATCGCGGCTGACTTCGTTTTATCAGTTAAAAAAAATAACAAACGTAGGTAGACACTCTGAACTTGGCGTACCGCGAAAGAAGTTTCTCTACTATAGCCACTCTAACAGAGACCGTTTGAAAACCAACAGTTTATTTATTATTCTCGTTTTTTCGCGCCAACTGAGAGCTGCCTAGCGAAAACTGCCCAAACGCCGAGAAGGTTTAGGCCACGCGACCCCCAAAAAAAGGCGACCGACCGGCTGTTTAGGCCAGGCTTGAATGCCTTTTTCTCCCTATTATGGTTTGATCGCGCACCTAAATTTTCAATTGTCTTTATCCGAGGCAGTATTCCATCATTGCGCGATGGAATACGCGCTTCAAAGCTTAATACACTTTATATCTTTGCCGAGCATGGACCTATCAAAAAAAGAACTTGCATCAAACATGCATAGGTAATTCTTGCTCGCGCTCTGGTAAAGAGCCTTCAAAAAAAACGACCAGCCGCTCCGCCGAGAATTCAATTCATCTTGTGCGCCTATATACTCTTTCACGCTCAATATAGTATATCCCATTAAAAGCCTTCTTTGCCGACACTCGGAAAAGCGTGCAGAATCTCGCTAGCTCCGAGAAGAACATATCCTTTCCATCTACCAACCGCCGAGGAGAACAAACCCTCTTTTATCATCCTCCCAAAAATAATAGTACTTATAATCGCACGCGCTCACACAAACGACTACTTTGGGCAAAAAAAGATCATAAAATGAGCAAATACCTTCTCGAGTTACGGTAATCCCACCTTCTTCCGTTCTCGTCTGAGTCTCAAAGTGAGCCCCCAGGCCCAGAACACGCATAGCAACAGCCAGGCGCCGTTCAGGCGAGGGTGACTCATCCTTGCTCCGACAAAAAACATCACGTGACCTGGAGTCTGTTTTCTAGAGGTACCCAAGTAACTGGACACTTCCATACAGGCAGCGCAGTACCCTTCCTAGCAGCAAATAAAGAAAAAAAAAAAAAAAAACTCGCCTGAATCGCCCGGGAGGAGATGCTCTGCGCATGCGCCATTATAGCACCCTGAAAACAGAGAACCGAAACCCTGGATCATGATGATGATAAAACCCCTAACGGTCAAAACCCGCGACAAAAGGTCGACGCACGTCGGAACGGTGCTATTACGTTCTGCGTCGACCTTTTTCAACTCTATCCTAATCATTCAACTCTCTACTTAAAAGTTACCAAATCTAAAAACAAAAATATCTATTGTACCCTTTTCTTAAAATTACAACACTTTTATTTGCTATTCCAGAAATCCACTCTCAACCGGGCAAGTCTAGTCCTACCTCATGTCCCCCGCCTTGACAAAGACTCGCCCAAATACACGTGTGTGTGCTTCTTTGTGAGTCAAGAAAAGAGGGTGCAGGCGAGCTGGTGAATATTCACAATGTTGAAATAGCCTGAGACTGGGGTAGAAGCTTCAAATCGTAGAAGGGATACTTTCTGTCCCTTCTACGATTTGATGCTTCTACCCCAGTCTCGAGTGATTTAAAAACGGCCCTGCCCCGGCTCAACGTGGAAGCTTCTGTGAACGTGTGTGTGTGTGTGTGCACTTTCCTGGTGAACTTTGGATAACTCTGGACTATGGACACAAAAGCGACGACGCTAGACAACATGCAAGGAAAGGTATTTGAGAATGCTTCTACTATCTCTCTCTCTCGTGGTTTGAATAGGAGTCCGGACTATAAAGCGCTTCGAAATCTCTTCTTCGCGTAACAAATATTGATTAAAAAAAAAGTATTCGCTTTTAAAGTTTCTCTTTTTCCCAGCGTCATGTACACGCATTTCTTGCGCGGAACAACAAATTAATAACTGCTATCTGCGTTTCATTCGATCTAGAAATCCCGTCGCGCCCGTTTGTTTGCTTTTGCCTTCCAGGTTAGACACTGCTCCTTCTTCAGGCAGACCGGAGAAAGCTTTCGCCCTCCCGACTCATCTTCTTTCGGTTTCGTTTTTCGAGCAGGTCGCGCACGTTGTTTAATAAATAGCTGTAGAGTTCATTGAGCTTCAGCGGCAGCAAAGGCCGCCTATATAATTCCGTCTTCTAGTCTAAATGTGCAGAAAATTTCGGTTGCATTGACGTTTTTATCACTAATTTTATTAAATGAGCCAACGAAGCCGCTAGAAACAGCCAAGTTCCGGAGCAGTGCCAGCAGCGCCACGTACACTGGGGGATGGCCGTCTCCGGATTGCGGGACTCGCGCGGCACGAACTATTGAGGAGTTTCAGCGAATATAGGGGGCGCTCCGATCGATCCAACATGGCGGACAAGAGGGGGATAGATTTGCGACGCCCGTAGACCGGTAGCGTATAAATAAAACAAAGCGTGTCGTTCTCTGTTTGTTGCCGTGTGCGAGACGATCATCGTTTCAACCAAGACCTACCGTGACGCTACAGATGAAGTCTTCAAGCCAATTGAAGGCAAGAAATCTTGGCAGAGTCAAGATATGTGTGCAAGTGTTCGACGTGAGCTCTCACTTCTGGTGCAGCTGTCATCAAGTTGAACCGAATGTACGCGGGTCCAAGGGAAGGTACTTACATATCAACAATGTTCGCGCGTTGAAACTATGACGCGTACTTTATCTCAGACTAAACTTATCGGTCTGCGGCTACAAACATTTTCGTTGACGTTGCTTAGATGATGTAACCATTCAGGCCTCGCATTAAAAGGTGTCGCGAACTCCTCGGTTGTTCTAGTTCATTGTGCTAAAAAGCGGTTGGATAGAAAGTATGACAACTACAGCATACAAGGGACGATTGAGGTCTTTATCCTGCGTTCTGTGTATCGAAACATCGGTATCCTTGGTGTTATCTTGCGATCAGCTGGTCGCCGATCGTCCTGTTTTTACGCGTAATGTAAACAAGCCCCGGAAGCGCCAATCTCATTTCTATGTGCTTGTGCACCCCTACAAGCCTCGTTCTGGCTCTTGTGGAAAGCTTTATTGTAATAGCAATAGTCTCATCGGTCATTCGAGTTGTATGTGCCACGGTGATATCGGCTGACAAAGAAGTCTGTATTAAATGCGAGAAGGAGAACGAAGGTAAAGCTTTTTTAACTGTTTTCTTTTTACAGAACAGGGCAAAGCTTCTAAAACAAGACCAAACTAAGCTGATATTTGAGTGTGCTCAAGAATGAATGCCAAAGGTGCTTATGCTAAGTGGTAGATGTATGCAGCTGATTTTCTGTTTGCCTCTGCATTGTAAATGGGAAGATATGTGTCAGCAGAAGACACATGTCCTTTTGAAAATGTCTTTTATTAGGGAAAAAATAGGTTTTCATACAGAACCGAAGAGTCGCAACACTATTTAATGCGAGGCCTGAATGGTTACAGCATCTAAGCAACGTCAACGAAAATGTTTGTAGCCGCAGACCTATAAATTTAGGTTTAGATAAGTATGCGTCATAGTTTCAGCCTCAAACACGCAACATTGTTGATATGCACCTTTCTTGATGACAACTGCACCAACGTGAGAGAGCCCACGTTGTCGAACACTTGCACACATATCTTGACTATGGTATGGCAAGGTTTCTTGCTTGAAGTGAAGATCATCTCGCTACGACTAGCTACAACCACCCACCGCAGCGATGCAGGCGTTGAAGGGGCGCAACGCAGTCAGTCGCCGTCGCCCGACGCTGCTCGTTTGGCATTCACGGCTTTATGCCCAGGTGCTTCGTTTGTACTTGGCACCGAGTGTTATTTTCCGTGCTTGTGTGTGATCTGTGGCGAGATATGGGCCTCAAAAGCAGTTCTTCAGGCTCAATAGCGTTCACCGAAGAACTTCTGAAGAAAATGCCACCCAGGAAGAAAAGCACGAAGACACAACGCACCAGCTTGGCGGACTATGCACTGGGGGCGGGAATCGGGCCCTGCGGATTATACACCAAATGCAAACTATCTAAACAAAACAGAAACATTTTTAGGCTCAAATTGGCTTCTGCGGACTATACGCCTGGACACTGGTGCCCGTTATTATATATTGTATATTCACTGCTGTTTGTTGTGGCTTGAGACTGCCTTCCTGTAATGATGCAGAGGGGTCCACTGAACCTTGAAATAAAGATATTTAAGCACATCTAGATGCAATGCCCCTTGAAGCCAGATGGTCAGGGAAAAGGTGTGCCATTATCTAATTTGCCAACAGCACACCAATGGTCACAATCAAAACTCACCGAGTCAATGAGCAGTTTTTCACCACAATATTTATTGCCGTGTAATCACCAATTTGGACCATTAAAAATCTTGAGGCTGTAGCCTATTGCACATCTATTCTGGATCTGCAAAACTTATGCTGTAGACATGCATTATCACATGAGCATGTTTCTTATCAATCTTAAACGTGAAACGCTAGTTATGCAACGAAATTCCCATATCATCACATTTTTAGCAAATTGAATGGTCCCACCTGTCACACTGTTAGCTTTGGAAGTAAACCAATTCACAATACCACCAGTGGCATATATCGTGCCAAGCATTAGTGCCGCATGTAGCACAAAAATGTCCTAACTAGGGAAGCAAACTTAATCGATCGTGTTGATTAAAGCACTTAAGTACGGGAAAAATTACCAATCAGAAGGTCACCCGAAAGGGAAGTTTTCTCGCTGAACGAATATGACTTTTTATTGGGCGTTCCGCAATGTAAGGCCGAAGACATTCACTCCGTGATCGGTACAGAAGCATTTGCTTAGCAGTCGGTCGTGCGTGCTAAAAACAAGAAAAACAAAGGTGGATTAGAAACGCGATAGATTCGCCTTTGCACGGAGTACTTACACTCAAAATCGTGTCAACATAAAGCGACTATGGCCCACCTTGCTAGCAGCAATCTTAAAATTTATCCGTGTAGTCGTCGCACCCGTGCACCAACCGAAAGCGTTGCTGCAAGCCCTTCCGCCGTCAGTGTTGAGTCTGAAGAACTGCTCTATGAGGTCCATATCCAGCCACTGAGCACATACACAAGCACAGGAAATAATAAATGATAATGTAGTGATTGCGCAGGCGAGCTGGTGGATGTTAACCATTTTGTTCTTAGCCCGAGACTGAGGCAGGAAAAGAGGAAAGTTTCGAAGTAGAAGAAAAATGAACAGTCGAGGACACGTCTCTAGCTAAAGACAAGTTTATTTGGTCACCTTCTTATATACACTCCACAAACTTCACCACAGCACCTTCCCGATCTCGAAAGCCAAAAGATAACAAAGGTCTCACATCTTTCCACCACAATTGTCAAACGACCTTGACGTTTTCCACAAAGCAATGAACAATAGCTCCCCTCATCCAGAAGACACTTGTGAATCCTTCGCGTACACAGTACACTCTCTCCCTCTACTCTCCGACCCATAATCACAAAGCCTCCCGGTAACATAAGACGTGTCCTCGACTGTTCATTTTTCTTCTACTTCGAAACTTTCCTCTTTTCCTGCCTCAGTCTCGGGCTAAGAACAAAATGGTTAAAAAAGGAAATAATACTCGGTTCCAAGTACAAGCGAAGAACCCGGGGCGGAAAGCCCTGAATGCCGAACGATCTGCGACGGGCGACGGCGGCTGACTGCGTAGTCAGCGTAGTACACAGGTTGCGCTCCTTCGACGCCTGCATCGCTGTGGCGGGTGGTCGTAGCTGGTCGTAGCAGATCGTGTCACCTCTGTTGCTCGTACCGGAACACTAGAGCCGCGTAATATTCTTGCTGCCGAAGTTTATAAGCCTACGTTCGCGGCCAACACATGTACACAAAGTCAACGCCCTGACCGCCCAGCGAACCTATCCCCCTCGTTCTCTTTCGGCGACCGGCCGCCAGGGCGGTGACACCGTCGCTGAAACTCCTCAATACAGTCACTACAGTAGCGAAACTACGCGGAACTATGTCGACGTTATGGAAACCGCAGGAACTGCGTCCAAGACAGGCAGGTTTTGCTGCCTGGGTGCCTTCCTTCCTGAGTTCTGTTTTCCGATGCCGAGTGCAACCGGCGTTCAAC